GTCGTCGTGCGGGCTCGGTCTACGATGAGAAGCTGGACAAGGTCAACGAGTTCGGGGCGTCGGAGGTCGTTGGGGAGGGCTCGAGCGACGGCGAAAAGCTGGCCCAGGCGAACGAGTTCGCGACGTCGGTTGTCGTGGATGCGGGCCCGTGCTTCGCGGAGAAGAAGGTTAAGAAGAATAATAATAAGAAGAAGAAGAAGAAAAAGCAGAATAAGGACAATAGTAAGAAGAAACATAATAATAATCATATTCAGCGCGGGGCCGTCACGTCGGAGGCCATTGTCGGGGGCTCCCAGTCCGAGGGGCTCGAGGAGGACGTGAGCCACGTGATGCACTTGCTGGTGCAGGGGCTCGTCGGGCAGGGAAGGGTGTCCGAGTCGGAGCCCCTGCTAGGCTCCGAGGCCCATGCCGCCGTGCGCAAGGCGTTCGCAGGAGTGCTCAGCTCCCAGAGGGTGCTCGTGATCTGATCGAGACGCTGGCGGGCGCCACGGGGCTCCCAGGTGGGTGAGACTGGGACTGGGAGCTTCGAGGGGAGTGGCAGGGGACCGTCGAGGACTGCGTTTTGAAGGGGGCGGGCGGCTGGGGGGGTGGAAGCCCCGCTTTGCCTGCTTTGGTTTTCGCCTTCCCTGCCTCGTGGGGGAGGGCCGACGCCAGGGGCGCTTGGCGCTGGCCAGGTGCCTGCTGGCTCACGGGGGTCTTTCCCCCTTTCGTGGGATGCGAGGGAGTTGCTCGGCTCCGCTTTCTCATGTGCCTCATTTGCCTCATTTGCCTCATTTGCATCCAGGCCGCCCAATGGGTTTCAAGCAGGTGGGACCGGCGGATCGTGCCGCGTCGTCGATGCACCGGCGATGCGGCCCGATGTGGAGCATGATTTTCTCCATGCCCACGGGCCTGGGCGGGTCTGCCGCCGCCTCCGCTCTGGGCCTCCCAGACGGCCGGTCGAAGGCGATGGGGCCGAAGGATCGCGCCGCACCGCCGATGCAACTCGATGTTGCGCCCGACTTCCTCCGCGCTGGCGTCGCCGACGAGTGGCCGCCGATGCCCGTGCGGGCGACCGACAGGCCGACGCGCGGGGCGGACCCGCGTCGACTGAACGCGCCCGGCGTAGGGGGAGAGGGGGGTGGGCGTTCGCGCGCGGGGCAAGTGCGACCTTTGCGCGGGGGTAGTCTCCTGCGCGGGAGTCGCGGGTCGAGTCGCAGAAGTCGGACGGGGAGGCGGAGGAGGTCGCCGCCAAGTCGTGCGCGACGACAGCTGCGGGGGAGATAGGCGCGCGCTGCGTGCAGCGCGGCAGGCGCGGCGGGTGGAGACGTCGGTGAGGTGCTCGGAGTGCCCGAGACAGATGGAGGGCAAGGGGGCCCGCTTGGGGCGGTTTGGGGGGCCTCGCGGGCGGTTGTGGGGCGATCTGGGGGGCCTCTGGGGCCAGCGCGGACGCCGCGCAGACCAGCGTGGCGGAACTGCTAGAAACGTGCGTTTGTCAGGCTTTTGTTTTTTCTGCCTCTCGGGGCCCACCGTGGAGACTTCGGCGCGGCGGGGCAACTCATCGCGACGGGCCCCGAGGGTGCCGCAGGGGGCGGGCCTGCCATGGGAGAGGGAGAAACAGAGAGAGGAGTCTTGGCGTCGCTCGGACGTGCGCACGTTTTCTCGGCGAGGGTCGCGCTGCCTCATCTTGCCCCACACAAATAAACGCACGACGTCGAACAATGCGCGGCGAATGGGCGTCCGAACGATGGCGAAGAGAGCGAGAGAGAGAGAGAGAGAGTGAAAGAGAGAAAAAAAGAGAAAGCGAGAAAAAGAGAGAGAGAGAGAGAGACACAAAAAAACACAAGAGAGAGAGAGAGAGAAAGAGAAAAGAGAGAGAGAGAGAGAGGCCGCGAGATGCCTCGGTGCGACATCCGCGCGAGACCGTCGCCGCGGTCAGCCCCCGGGAGGCGGTGGGAAGCGGGCGTCGCGCCCGCCGCGGGCTGCAATCTGCCGCGGCGAGACGTTCGCGCGAGGCCGCTGCCGCGGCGTGCGCCCAGGAGGCGCAGCCAGCACCTTGGAGAAGGGAGCGTCGCACCAGCCGTACTGTGACCTGCAGGCGCGGTTTCTTGTGGGCCGCGGCGTGGATCGGCGGCGAGCGAGGGGGGGGGCCGAGAAGGAAAAGGTCTTCTCAGAAGGCGGCGTGACTTCCCAGGGGCCCCCTGGATTTCTGAGAAGGCGTCGGCGGTTTTGGGCAGGGCTTATGAGAACGCTTCTCAGCAGGCCGGGGGACCTCCGAGCCCTTTGGGGAGGCCCGCCCCGTCTCTCGGGGAAGCGTAAGATTCGGGTACGCCGGGACTCGGGTTCGCCGAGTTTTTTAGACGAGCGCGTCCTGAATTCTGACAGTCCCGTTTTCGTAGGCCCGCGTCGAATTTCAGATTGGGTCTCGTCATTTTGATGATGGCCCCCGTCAGGCCAACCCGAGTCCCCCGTACCCGAGTCTTGCGTCTCCCCGCCTGGGCTCGCCGCCGAGCTGAGAGGGAGGGGGGAGCGCGCGGCGCGCCGCGCGCGAGACGCGGGCGACGCCGGCAGCGCGGCGGGCGCGCGGGGGCCGCCTCAGCGAGCGGGGCGCGGAGGGATTCGCGGCAGCGGCGGGAGGAATCTCGCTGCGCGTGCTGCCTGAATGGCGCGGGCGCGGATGCGGAGGTCGCTGCGAGCCAGTGCGCCGCGGGGGCTGCAGCGGGGGAGGCTCTGCCGGGAACGTGCCGGGCCATGGTGATGCTTACTTCGGGTGTTGCCAGAAGTGCCCCTGGCCCAAGGTGCCCCCAGCTTTTTGCACCACGTTGGAGCCCCTGGGGTCTTCTGGGCATCGTGAGGGGTGTCCTGGAGGCCGCCTGGGCCACCCCGAGAATCCTGGGGGTACCTTGGGCCAGAGGGGTACTTCTAGCAACACCCGATGAATTACGTCCAGCGGGGCCATCCCGTGGCATGCGGACTGGAAGGCTGGGGAGGGCGCCGCGAACGAGAAAGGCGAAACGTTCCGCAGACGTGGGCAGCTTTGCGGAGGGTTGGAAATCTTCGGGAGTTTAGGGGGGCGTTGGCGTGCCTGGCGGGCTGTGCGTCCGCGGCTCGCGGAGCGCGGACCTGTGGGCGCCCTTTGGGAGCCTGGCGGGGGGCTCTTGGAGGCCTGGTGGGGACCTCTGGGACGCCTCGTGGGGTCCCCTCGGGGGCCTCTCGGGGCCTCTTCGGTGCGCCTGGGGCTGCTCGTATCTTCGGGCGCTCTTTGTGCCGTCTGCCGCCGTCGGGGCCGCCGAGGGGGGCCTGCGCGGAGCTGCCTGGGAGGCCTCCTGGGAGACGCGGGCGCCCGCGAGGGCCGCCCTGGTCGGACGTTGCAAAACCGCCCCTGGCCCAAGGCGCCCCCAGGAATTCCAGCCGCCTCCGCAGCACCCCTCACGAGGCCCAGGGGTGAAGAGGTTCTCCAAAGGGCTGAGGCGACCCGACCTCCTCCTCTCCTCCTCCTCCTCCCCCTCCCCCTTCTCCTCCCCGTCCCCCTCCTCCTCCTCCTCCTCCTCCTGCTCCTCCTCCTCCTCTTCCTCCTCCTCCTCCTCCTGCTGCTCCTCCTCCTCCTCCTCCTCCTGCTCCTGCTGCTCCTCCTCCTCCTCCTCCTCCTCCTCCTCCCTTCCTCCTCCTCCTCCTCCTCCTCCTCCTCCTCCTCCTCCTCCTCCTCCTCCTCCTCCTCCTCCTCCTCCTCCTCCTCCTCCTCCTCCTCCTCCTCCTCCTCTCCTCCTCCTCCTCCTCCTCCTCCTCCTCCTCCTCCTCCTCCTCCTCCTCCTCCTCCTCCTCCTCCTCCTCCTCCTCCTCCTCCTCCTCCTCCTCTCCTCCTCCTCCTCCTCCTCCTCCTCGGGTCGCCTACGGCCCCGGGGGAAGCCGTGCACCCAGAGGGCCCCAGGGGCTCCAAAGTCGAGCGACAAGCTGGGGGCACCTTGGGCCTTTGGGGTACTCCGAACTTCTTTTTAATCAACCGGGGGATGACAAACCTGAAAACGCGGCGCGGCCAACCCCCCCCCGCCCCACCCCCGCGCCCCAGCGGGGAAGGGATCGAACCCCAGACCCCGCCTTGCACCCCCGCGGACGCGCCGCGGCCAACCCCCCCAGGCACTCCAGGGGGGGCGATGATTAAGCCATCCGGAGTACCTTGTAGCACCCCCCGACCTGGGGCCCTCCCAGGAAGCTTCTCGGGCCGTCCCGTGGCCCTTATTGGGGGTGCCTCTCGGGGGCCAGCGTCGCGCGACGTCCGGGGCCCGTTAAGGCCGTCGCGGAAGCAGCTGCGAGCACGGCAGTATGCGAATGATGGGGAGATGCGCGCGTTCCTGAGGGATGGCGGCGTTTCTGGCTTCTTGGGCCCCGCGTGGGCGTCATCTGGGAGCCCCATGGGGGGCTTCTCGGAGGCCGTCTCGGGCGTCTCGCGGCGATCCTGTGCGCCGTGGGGGCTCCCTTGGACCGTCTTGGAACCTCCAGGGGCAATTTTGAAGCCTTCTGCGGCCGTCCAGGCTCACGTCAGGTGCAAATGACCTCCCCCGCCAGATCGACCAGACCAAGCTCTCGGGGGAGCGGTTTGGGGAGGGGCGTCAGTCTCTAACCTCGAGGAGGGCCCAACGTTCGGCGAACAGTGCTACTCCCTGCAGTCGCTGAGAGGTGTGAGGCCGCGTGGCCGCAGCGAGAAATCTTATTTTTTGCTGTGCAGTCAGAGGACCCAGCTTTGTGCGAGCGCTTTGTCGACCTGCTCAAGAGTTCTTCGGCCAAGACACGAAGTTGTAGTTCAACGATCTGTGGGCTGGGCAGTCACACGAGCCAGCCCAGAGAGGCAGCGGCGTAGGCTTATTTGTTTCTCTCTCTCTCTCTCTCTGTTTTTTCTCGCTCTCTCTCTCTCTCTTTCTTTCTTTCTTTTTTTTTTCTCTCTCTCTCTCTCTCTTTCTCTCTCTCTCTCTATATATATATATATCACGAGGCCTTGTGCCGAGGCGCCGAGGTTCTAAGCCGCG